TCGCAGATCCAGGCCACCAGGTAACCATTATTATCAAAGCATACATTGTGTTATAAACAGCCAAACTCCCAGTGCCTGCTTTTGCTCAGATGTAGATGGAGGAGTGGCTCGCTAACATTTGCTCCGACTTTGCGTCAATGAATTGAAGGCTTGTGTTGCAGTTGTGCTACATGTAGCATCATAACATCAGTAAATCATTGCCATGTGAACCTTAGGCAAGAAGACATCTGTTCTTTTAGCAAGTACGGGTTTCTCAGTGAGACAACAAATGATATTAAACAATACACAATGCAATACTTAATGTTGTTAACCCACACCAGCCGCACCGCCGGCATTGCACGAGGAGAATAATTGTCTTGATCACAACGTCATTTGTTATGCCGATTATAGCTTTCAACGGCCACATTTTGATGTTTAATAAAGCTACACGTCGGAGCTCTAAGTGATCTTACGACAGAACAGCTGCCCCCAGACTGACATCTGGCAGAACTCTGAAATCACTGAACCTATTTACGTACAGATGACTTTGTTTGTCTTCAGTGTGGTCATGGTTACAATCATGTAAAGCAAAATCACCATGTAGTGAATTATTGTCTGTCTCTATGATAAATGGGGTCTCACCGTCGCGGCCTGAACTCTATTTGGTTGCTGAGGTGCTTAATTTGAGTTGTGGATTTGGTTTTGAGACACGTGTCAGGTTCAGATCTGCAGCATGTGTGGCAGGACTCGGGCACGGAGTCGTCTGATTGAGATGCCTTCACACGGGCGACTTTAAGCCAATTGTTTGAGGAAGTGGAGAAATCTACTGAGACCCTGGCTATAATGGAAAGGTCAAGTGTAAAAGTTGTTCTGCGTTCCTATTGCTCATCAAAGGCAATCTCTTATCATCTTTAACACACTGGTATTGCATTACCTCTGTGGCCCCTGTCGGCATGTGGCGCAGGGCGGAGAGAAGGACAGTGGAGGGCCACTGTCTGCCTGAACTGGAGGAAGCCGGGAATTAATTTCTGATGGACAGCACTAATGTCTTTCAGACCGGAGCCCCGAAGCTACAAAGCGCTCTCCGTAACACGAACGCTGTGCGGCAGGCAAAAACGACAAACCCGGCCATCTGCTAACCAGACACACGGCCGTATGCACACACATATACAACACACAAGGGGTGCCAAACGGATCGATTAGCAGACAAGGAGTGTGAGGGCCACAGCAGGGGGCGGGGGAGACACCCAGGGTCAAAGAGATGGTGTACTGTTTCAGCACATGCTAAATCAGTTACCATCTCCACACACATAAAGCCCTGGCTCAGTGCTGCAGCCACCCCTCATAATCCCCAAACAATCTGGCTCAATCTGGAGAATAAGTGGAGGGTTTCTAGTTACAGTAACACTCAGCAGAACAGACACCAAGCCCCTCGCACGAATAACAGAGAGCAAAGTTGCAAGAACGTTACTACTTAAGTTTCCAAGTAGCATTTGTTTATTTCCTGTTTTGCTAAGGGACTGAGTAGCTCTGGTTTGATTCCAGGTCTGCTTAAATGCCATGACTGGTTAACAAAGTAGTTTTGAGTGTGATTTTTGAATAGATGTGACCATATTGATGATTATCACTTTTAGAATATTGAACACCATCATCTTCTCTGTTTGCGTTTTCTTAATGAGACACATGTTGGAAACCAAAGAGTGTGCAGGTTAAGTAGGCGAATTGCTGTACACTTATTGTGAGTCTCAGTGTTAGCAGGGTGTGGTTGTCTGTACTGTGTATTAACTGACAATAGCCAGCTCCTGGGAGGGATGTGATTCAAGCCACAGAGTACACTAGCACACTGTGCTCCGGTGCTATTAGCGCACTAATGCCTTCCCCAGGACTCCCCAAGGCTAACACTGGGCCTTAACCCGATACCGCACATGCTACATAAGACATAGGATTTGCTCGCCTCTGTCTCAAAACACATCTGGGATTCAGATTTTCCTGTTTGTCAACAAAAGGCCTCCTAGAGGCTGAGGTTGCACAGACGGGGATTTTGGGACAGATCGCTGAGCTGCCCTCATGCACATGTTTCTGTATGTGTAATCAGCCCACATATGTCACGTTAACCCTTTCCGCACCGAGCTGAGGTTACACGTTTTATCACTTGGTGTCACAGTGCTCCTCCTTGTGCTCCTCTGAAGCCCTCTTGTGGGGGGTTTATGGTGGGTTTTGAACCTGACGTGTTTATCTGCCACGTGATGTCGACATAGGAAGTTGCAGGCTTCATGTAACGTGAAGATGAAGTGTTAAGATCAGTGCCCTTAAATATTTGTTTGTGCAACTTAACTCTCACAACCTCAAGCAGATTCTGGGCTTTTTTTGGTGCTGCCATATATTTACTCACTGTGGGCTCATTTTTCTACTGCAGTGTAAAAATGGAAGCAGCACACTTAGCAGCCTTATTTCTTTGATAACTCAATGTACACAAATTCAAAAAAATCTGTAATTAACATATGCAGTATATTTCTAAGTGCCCACATGTTTCACCAATACTGGAAAAAATGGTGACTCCACATGGTTTTTACTACTTTTTAGATTAGTTCTCTTACATGTCTTTTATCTGCTGTGTACTGCCTGCACTTCAGCTGAAAAGTCGCAGAATGTTTATCCTTGGACTGTTGGTCACAGTCATTAATGGCTTTATGGTTGCGCTGAGGAGTTCAGCATTTCTTGTTTTTTACAAAATCTGGTTTATGCTAATTTTTTATTTTGGCAAAATATTAAATAAAAAAATTTAGAATAAAGTGACTCGAATGAAATATCACCACTTTAGGCTTAGATTGGGTTTCCTGGTGGAATGAGACATCACAGATGAGTAGTTCAAGGACCATTGTAAAGTTGAAAATCAGTTTTTACCGTTTCTGGCAATAAATAGTGACATACTTTTCAAACCCTGTGGTGATTCAGAGTGTTGATAAAATTACATAAAAATGGCCTTTAAATACTGACTGTACACCTCAGTCAAAGGTTCACATCTTGACTGTTTAACTCGATTAGGACTTGATGTGAGAAACACTCCTCCAATTCAGTCGTGTTTATAGCAGTGGGATAATATTACTCTTCTCATGTATTCCCTCGATGGATTTTCTGATTTAATAAGCATCTTTGCATTTTGAATCCCAAGGAAACACAGCTAATTAACCTTATTACTTAAAGGGGCAAAACATCTCCCCCATCAATAAAATTACTTGCTTGCCTGTTCAACACTTAGTCACTGAAGGGAGATTACGTTACTGTGAAGCGGATAAGAAATTAGATTGTTGTACTGAAGGAATGAACCAACAAATGTGTAGCTGTAGGTATCTATTTTTGGCAGCACTTCATTAAATTGTAGCGTGTACACTTGAAGGCAGATATAGAAATTCAGCAGAGAGTTTTATGAGGAGGGAGACTTAAGAAAATGTAGATTAGTATGATCCCAGATGTATTTTCAGTTTTCTGGACACAGGAGTGAATTAAATCTCCAGTTTGAGTGAAGAGTATGAAATAAAATAAGTAATTATTGAAGCCAGATTTTTTCATATCAGTACTGTATTTTCCTTTCTGAATATTTAATTTCAGCATAGTTCTATAGGTTACCTCACATCCTTTCTGTAGATTAGTAATCAACTGCGGGGCTCTTATCTGGCCCGTGAATCAGCACATGGTAAACAGATCCATGTGTCAGTGGACCGTTTGACTGACAGCCTGTCGCTTTCCCTTTGTCATCGGCACTGCGTGCTCAGATAGGATCTGTACAAGTTTGGCTGTATTTGCTTTTGATCCAAACGGGAGAAGCCACATTGCCTCTGATGTGCTCCTAAACTGTTGGCCAGTCGGGGCTCAGATAGCGAGCCATGAAGTGAAGCCAACACAAGCTGCTCCACTGCAGTGGGAAGTTGGTGTGCATCAGACATGAACAGCTCAGAGTGAATGACATTTGCTCCACCAGTAGCCAGGTCAAGGTGTTCGGTCAAAAAGACTATTTACAGGATGGGAGGGAAGTAGTGTGATGTGTGCAATATGCATGTTCTTTGAGGATTGTTTTTTGTGGGGGATCCACACATTTCTGTGCTATTTCACACATTTAAAGGTATATTTCAAAAGTAGTTTGCACCTGTTTAGTACAGTATAATCACCTGACATGTCACAAGTTTTTTTTTTTTTTTTTTTTTACACAGAACCATCTAAGAAGTCATGCTTTGAAGTTGTTTGGAAAAGGGCAGCTCTTTCAAAAAAATATTTGGCAGCTAATTGGATTAACCCATAGGTGTAGGTTTCATGAGGTACGCAGCAGATATCTCAAATATTTAGAACATATGCAATTGTCCCTAATGAATAAAAATATGAAAGAAACAGAAGACTTTTATTTTGAAAAACTAGTATGACTTTAGTCATAAATACAACAACACCACTGTCAGGGGCAGGTATTTATCTTCAGCGCTGCATCTTTTTTACTCTCAAATTGTGAATTATGAGTGCATTCAGCCACTGAATCTATTATGGAGAATGTAATTGGATCCATACATGTTTTCAAATATATGTTTAATTGTCACGTGTTGCCTGAATTTGATGTTTTTCTTCACATAAATAAAGACAATTTCACCATAAATTGATGCAGAAAAGGCACAAATTTGTGCATTAAAAATTACTAGAATACAGGAAATTAAGTGTTTGATGCACAAAATTTCCCATTGGGGGAACCCCCCACTCCTTACTTAATATATCTCCCCCAAATATTCAGATGAAGCCCACGCCCATGGATGAACCCTCTATCTATCACCGTCTATCACTGACTAACACACAAAATATACTGTAGCTCCCAGTAGTCCCTCATGGGAGCCTGATTAGTCTGGAAAAATGTGATTGGACCACAAGCACAGAGCTTAAAGTCTGGAAAGATGGATTCACATCTGATCTTGTAAGAAATGTAAACAGTATCTGGTTCATGCATGAATGATGTCTCATGCACACTAATGATTTCCATTTCCCAGGTGAGCGCCCATACCAGTGCCCTTACTGTGACAAAGCGTTCAGCAAGAACGATGGCCTGAAGATGCACATCCGCACACACACTCGGGTAAGTTTTCTCCTTTCTCCCTGAGTTAATAATGCCTGTATATCAATTATTTTGTATTCTCAATAGTTGCTAAACATCATTCTACTCTGTCCATACGCGACAGTTTTCTTTCATATGACAGTTTATCAGATCATTTAGTGCAATCCTACTTTTATTAGCTCATCTTGATGGGATGAATATGAATGGTTTGGATGTGCAGAGTAGAATTCAAAATTCAAGATTCATTTGTAATGGGCTTTTATGCCTCCGCACTGGTGACAGCCGTAGCCAGAGGCGTTATGTTCTCCTGCTGTCACATTTTCAGGAACGTGATATCTCTTGAATACAAAGAGGAAATTTCTGCAAATTTGGAACAAATGTTCACTTGGACTCCACAAAGAATTGATTAGATTTTGGTGGTGAGAGGTCACTGTAACCTCACACATTTTTTGCCCTAACTCAAAAAATGTATCACTATTGGGGTCACTGAAAAACTTGAGGTAGCTCACTTACACAAAAAGTCATATCTGGACTTTAGAACTTCAGTTGTTGCCTATATACACTGGTTGAAAACTACTTCAACCTAAGATTACACCGTTGCATGTCGATATACTTTGGTTTCCATTATATGTTACTTGTGCATGGACTAAAAATAGTGGCAGTTTTGCTTATTAGGGCGACCATTGTTCAAAATAGCTCAAGAGAAGATGCTGTTTTGTATTTGAAAAAAAAAGTTCACCCATAGACAAGACAGTTTATTTGTGATTTCAGCATTGAAACATCTTTCCAAGTGTGATGACAATTTATCCAACCACAGCCATTTATGGTACAATAAACTGTGCTTCCATTGTTAGTAGGCTTCCCTACTATAAAATATAAGTATAGGAGGGTACTTCAAAAAGTTCTCAAAAAGGCCGCGCCTGGAAACAAGGGGGTAACTCCCATTTTGGGCCATAACTGTGTGCTATAAAGTCTTATATTATTGTCCACAAAGACTCAACTGTTTGAAGCAATCACAGAAAAAAGGAGAGGGGGGCTTTAATCTGGGGAGTTGCTGCTCCAGGACAATGCAAGGACAAGGGACAGCAAAGTCACTTTAATTCACAGGCTAATTATGATAAAATTGTGCACAAATATCTAATATGGTATTGGGACCATGTTTCCCATTTGGTCAGTACTTAACTGCTGACACTTATCTTGTGTGTCCACCTTGAAACTGTGATGATTGTATAGATGTTCTTTGTGTGTGTTAAACATATTTGTGAAAAATCCTGAGAATTTGTAGCTTTTTTCCACCAACATCCATATTTGAAGCATTTTCTACTCATGGCAGTGACAGAATCAGATTTGTTTTCCAGACTTACACACACTTAACACTTTTCACATCAAAACTTTATGACTATACGTACATATATAGGGAGATACTAGTTGGTGGAGGCGTGCAACCAAGAGACAGTAAGTCTGCCTTTTCTTTGCATTATTATATATACTGAAGTGATGAAGCATCACTAAATAACCAGAGGACATTTTTCCATGTCACAGAAACATAATGATAGGTGTAAACAACATAGTTAAAGATTGATGAGTTCTGTTTTGCTGCTTCAGTTTCAGGGTCCTAAAACTACATTACCTTGCTTTTCCTGCTTCGACAACTCAAAATATGTGCTGCCTAAAAACACTTACACTTTACGGCTTTCAGTGTGTTACCATAGTCCAGAATACAAACTGAGTGCAACCTGATTTTGATCCATGTTTGTTAGATTCAAAAACAGGCTGTTACTGCTCAAACTTGAGTTGTCTGCATTAGTTTTTGCTTGTGTATTGAATTACGATAACAATAACTGACAATAACTGTCTGAACACATCTTTTTAGCTCTTTCAATGGCCGATATTATTAAATAGACCAACAGTTGGCCCTTATCAAATTCTTTTTGACCTCAAAAATTAAGTAGAGCAGCATGCACAATGTGTACTTTATGGATATGTGAGCTCCTTGCATCATGTAGACAGACTAGATACAAAATGATAAGACACTGAATAGGTGGAGACAGAGAAAGAGTGAAAGAGATGCCAACTCACTCCCAGGTGTCCCACTGATTTTAATCATACCCTATCGAGTGCTACGCTTCAGGTTTTTTTGTTTAGCCATTGTCTGAATTGCAGAGTGCACATGCATAAACTTTCACACACTTTGCCGTGTGAAAAAAGTCGTGGCTCCTCTGTGTCTAACATACGTGACACTCCCTACAAATTTAATTATGAGGTAATTCATACACTTGCAGGTTCTTTCAGAGGTCCTCCAGCACTGCCTACCGACACAAAAGACTTGGTTGCACTTAAACTATGTTGGCCTCTCACAGTCAGAGTTTCACTTCTTTATAAACTGCACTGCAAACTTCACGAGGATGCTGAATATTCATAGTCAGAATATGTAAATGTAAAGTGGGCCAGGGTTCGGGGTGGAGAAAGGAAAAGGTACTGGATGCCGTGAAGTCATTTCCTGAGCAGCTCATTTCTCTGCGTCACTTTTCAACGAATTCAAGTTCTTCGCCAAAGCGACACTTTCCATGAGCTCTCAGTGAGCATCTGTGTGTTGGTGTCACTATTGACGAATGAGTCTTAATGCGTATTTTGTCATAGATTTCCATCATCAGTTTCTACAGCTTTGACTATGACAGTCTGGGCCTGTCAACATGGTTAATTTGTAAGATTTGTTCTCTTTTAATGCTGTCCAGAGCACTGTGTTCTGCTCTTACAGTGTCTTGATAATGGAGGTATCCTGCACAGGTTGGCGTGTCTCAGTAGAAACAGGCAGGTATAATTTTCTAGTGTGGTGCTGATTAAACTGACTGATGTTTTGTTCCTAATGTTCCCAGACCTGCCTTTGCTCAGAGCACTCTGAAATATGGGCTGAACAGTTACAAACAGCAGAGCCAGATGAAGTCACTGTTGAGAAAAACTAATGTCATTTGGCTGAAAGAGCTGCAGCTCACTGTTAATGTACAGACGATTTGAGATGGATGCGACTGGAATTTGTTTATACCGCAAACCACATCATCACCAAAACCAAATGGAACACATTTGATGCAGATACGGGCTGCTGACATTTTGGATATTAAAGAATGTTTTAATAATATTGCTGTAAAAGGATGTGCCTCTATGTTCTATGATTGCAAAAACATTTGTTTTTGTCGTCATATTGTCTTCTATTCTTGGGCAAGAGTTTTGGGCTATAGGTCAATGATTCCCAATCAGCAGTAATTAGGGGGTACTTCTGCAGATTCAGATGAGTACATGGAAAGACTGACTCAACTAATTTGCCAAAAAACTGAAATTACAATTTTATTAAAAATGACAAAGCCGGCAGCTGAGTCGGCTGTAACTGTTGCAAAGGATTGAGAATACATTAAAAATAAGTAGCACAAAGCAAAAAAGTCTAAAGAGTTGGCCAAAACTCACTGGATGCAGACTTTGAGTATAAGCCTGCTATTTCACACAGATTTCCACTATCTGCATGTAATCGGTTTTAAAATCCCCTCGACTATGGGACACAACAACAACCTCTGAGTATCAACATACAAACTGAAAATGCCAATCTTTGATGAAGATTTGGATGTGCAAAGGAGGCCTGCTTGATTCTTCCTGCTGAATTAGCCATTTTAATGACATTGCTGACCCCCTGGGGCACCGTTGCTGCATCCTGGGCTCAACATTGGCCAAGGTGACGGTTATTTGTTTGCAGTAATGCATTTTTATTTATTTTTATTTTTTTAACCTTGTAGCAGAATGATGATGAGGTGCAGCCAGACCATTCTCCCACAATATGGAGATAGGTCTGTCTATACCAGACTTAAACATAATAATAAAACAAAGGAACCAATCCTGTCAACGTGCAGGATACTAGAGTACCATATGTCTGGGTTTCCGTTTTGAAAATGTATGGCTGAATTACTCTAACGTTACAACTTGCCATAGGTTGCACACAGCAGTTTTACAGTATTTGAGCAGAGTTGTAAGTCAGCTGTTACTAAATTACATCTCAACCATTTTAAGGCAGGGTGAGATTATTTCATGGAAAAAAAAAAACTTCTAAAATGTCCCAAGTCCATCTGCATTATAAAAGGGAACTTCACTAAACCAACCTAAACAATGACTGCTGAACTGTATGAAAAAATATTGAAACGAAATCGACTTTATACAGTTATTAATGTCAAATCATATAGATTCAGTTAAAACATAACTGGTGTTTTGATAAAGGGGCACTGAAGCTCATCTGACAGGCTTCTTGGGGTAATGTCTGACAACAAAAGTTGGAAATTACAGATCTAGGCCACTTGAAAACTCTGTGTTTACATATTCACATGTAATTAGTCAAAATAATTTCAATCACAGCTCATGTAGTTCAATTCTAAACCACTATGTGAAACTATTGTTCCATGGTACTTAATACAGATGACAGCAAATACTGATTCGGGTTTGTTGTGCTGTTGTAACCCAGTTGCATTTTGCACCAAAGATTTTCCTTTTATCCACAAAATACATGGTGTCAAATCCATTCACTTGTCCCTTCAGCACTCTATTTTGTGAAGAGAACAAAGGGGTTGGGGAGTCTCCATTGTTGTTTAGCATGTTATCATGCTAACCTTTGCTAATTACCACAAAACCCAAAGTGAAACTGAGGTTGATGGGAATGTAATCAGTTTTGCAAGAATTTTGGTCATAATCCAAAGAATCAGACAAGCAAATATTTTGATCTGATGAAAGGTCAGAGAATCCACAAAGGGGGAAGTGAAAGCCTGAACCAAACGTTTAGTTGTTGAGACATTTCACTGTGGACAAATATTACAATCTCATCATGGCACTAGAAGAAAAGTCAAGGAATCCCTCTGGGGAGCACTAATGGCAACACAAAATAACATTCAGTAGCTGCTGAGATATTTGACTCTGGACCAAAGCGCAGGAAAAGCCAATCAATCGACAGACAGACAGACACTGCCTAGAGTCATGCTGCGAGCTCCTCTGAAAAACATTCAAGCCTCCTATAATGTTTGGTGATCTCTAGCTGCTGCCCGAAGCCTAACAGAGCACAACGACTTCCTGTTAGCATGCTGCTTTACAAATACCTGCATATTTAACGTGTCATACGAGAAGATCGGCTCTGCTGGAGTAAGCAAACAAGGCTCCATCGCATTTATAGACATGCTCTTTGTAGAGAGTGGTCAGATTGAGAGGAAAGGTCAGGTCAGAGGTCAGCGGCTGAACAGCTGCTGAAGACTGAAGGTCACCAGGTACAGATGTTCGATGTTACCAGGGTCACAGTGATGCATTCTGGGTACATCACATCACCTAAGTCCATCCATGTGTTTCAGGACCTTTGAGCCTTGACCCTTCATAGTTTTCTTTCTTTCATACAACAGCCGTCCTGCCCTAATGGAAAAAGACGTGATCCCTGTTAAAGCTAAGGACTTAAGTGGAAATTTGCATTACACTGATCAGGATGGAGTCTGTTTCCTTGAGGCGGGTTTCTCTCTCTCTCACACACACACAGCTTTATTTCCATTGTCCGCCTTCATTCTGTCACACATACACAAACAGTTGCATACTTAAAGCCGCTCATGCACTGAACCTGATCTTTACCTCCTTTTGTATCCTGTGTCACTGGGCACTCCTTGCCCCGCCCACATGATAGCACTTTTCCCAGGACCCTTACTTCCTGCATTCACCCCGTTCCCATGACAACTAAGCTTTAAATGGGTAGAGCCTCTGCTATCAGCCAGATTTGTCAAAAACAGCTTCCCAAAGGGTGACACTGGGAACTCAGCCGCTCCCTATCTCCATGCTTCTCATTTCTCCTCAAGCCTTTTAGGTGTCACCACTGTTTCCCCTCAGAGTGGGCCGCACACGCCTACTGTCCACTCTATTCAACACACACACACATGCACGCAAGCATACTTTTTTTTTGAGAAAACACACCCACAGCGCGATAGCTGCTTTGACTGACACTGAGACAAGCCTCCAAAAGGCACAGAGGAAATGTTCTTTGGTAAACTGATGAGGTGTGGAGACAGAGGAGTGATATTCTACAGCCCCACTGTGCCGACGTACTGATACACGTTCAAAGGGATTTTCTGTTCCGTGTTTTTCTTGCTCTTTTGAGGAATCCATGTGTTTTTGATGGCCCCTATGCCGGTCATTTCCTCCCTACTGCAGGGGCTGTACAATCTTTCATTTCATATCTTCGTGAACTCCCAGGGAGAACGCTGGGGTGTGAAGTGAGAGGGCATCAGTGTGTGAAAGCGAATGTGTGTGTGTGTGTTTTACAGGGATATTTCCACATCTTCTTGTGTTTTCCAGTATGCTGTGTTTGTTTTTCTCTGCGTGTGTGCATGCACATATGTGTGTCATTACAGGGTTTTTTTTTTTCCTGCAGGTTTTGTCCATATGTGACCAAAACTGGGGAATTATTGTTTTATGCATTGTTCTGCTGCACACTGACAGATAAAGTGCCCTCTTTAAATGCGATGTGTGTGTGTTGCTGCAGGAGAAGCCGTATAAATGCAGCGAGTGCAACAAGGCCTTCAGCCAGAAAAGAGGACTGGACGAACACATGCGGACCCACACGGGAGAGAAACCTTTCCAATGTGATGTGAGTGTCTGCCGCACCTCTGAACCTCTTGACTCTTACTTGTTTTCATCTGTGTGTGTAGATGTGATGGCGCTCTGGCACGAGGCCAGATGTGTGGAAGAGTTGGGGCTCAGTTTGAGGCAGATAGTGATCTTGCTTCTCTGGAGAGGCCGACTGGGCTGATCTCACGTAAACACATTGAGAGGATCAGAGGGAGAAATTACCCTCTGCTTATAATACTGCAGGGGTAATAATTATTCTCAGAGATCGGGGTGGGAACACGCGACAGAATTTGTTGTCAGTGTTTGGAACAAACTTTTAACGCTGCGTTTTATCTGCATTTGTGGAAATTGGAAACATGATGCCATTGATTCTATATTTTCTGTTTTTTATTTAGAAAGCCACAACTGTTTCTTGGGAAAATTGAAATCTTATGAAATTCTGTCTAACTCACAAAACTTTTTGATGTGACGGATGAATATAAAGCGCAAGGATCAGTCGCTACAAGCCACTGCAAAGCATTCTAGGATGTGAGACACCTTTCAAACAGAATTAACATGATGTCTTTTGGATTATTGTAGAGCAGAGATTTTCAAACTCTCCAGGGGAGCATAAAGGAGTTGAACGGGGGACAGCGGGGTGGGACACGGGGGTGAAGGGAGAGATGCAGTCGTGAATGTAAGCTACTTCTTCTCTGAGTCACAACATTCAAATCTGAACACACAGACATGATATGCATATTTTTAGATTCAGTGTGACTTACACTTTCCAAGGACGTCATAACCTCAAATGTCCATCATGAATAAAGGTACATAAATCCACTTTGTAATCATAGAAACAAAGATGCACCTTGTGGTTGCAGAACCCGCCTGAGAATTGTCACGTTTTTAAGTTTGCCTTAGTATCAAAGCATTTCAACGATAGTTGTTTGGTTATCTACGGGTGCATTGCAGATGGGAGCTGCTCATAGCTAATTCAGCATACTTTTGTTGGCACCAGTTTGAAAAATGTAACAAGAAAGTATATAAGAGTCCAAGTTGTAGTCTACAGATAACTCACTGGATCTAAAACTAATTTAAATTATTTCACAATTACAAAATAAAAGCACTCTTGTCCTGTGTTAAAAACCTGCAGACATTCAAAAAAAACTAAATTTTCTCTTAATTTAAAACTTTTTAAGAAGGTGCTATTGCCGTGATTTCAGTAAGCGGGTTCACACAGTTTCAGAATTTGAAAATTGTTGTTCTGGACATCTCAAACAAAGACGATGCTCTAAGCTCATACTTCTTAACACTCTGTTTCTCAAGTACTGTTTGGGCCTTGTTTTGTTTTTGACACATTTCTACTCACTGTGAGCTCATTTATCACTGTAATATAAAGTCCTGCACCGGGCACAACATAGACATTGCTGCAAGTAGAGAGAACTCAAAAATGTTTTCTGTGCAGTACAACAGTTTAAAAAAAAATGATGGTTGAATTTCTTTAACTGTTTATTTTGCAGTAATGGAAAAATGCTAGAAACTAATACTGGGGGGAAAAATGGTGGCTCCAGGTATCATACATATTTTACTGTGTACATTTTTTTTTTTTGTTTCCATACTTGTCTCCTATCTGCTCCAAGCATTTAGCCCAGTTCAGCCAAAAAGACTCAAAAGTTTTGTCATGTGGGTGTTGGCAACAGCTGAGTCACTAGTTCTGTCACGGTTGTGACAAGGAGAACAGAATTTTTGTTTTTAAAGAATCTGGTTGAAACTGTTTAATTTTTGGCGTACTTGTGGAATAATGTGGTTTTGATGACATATCCTGATTTTTAAGCTTAGATTTAGTTAATTTTTCCAAAGCAGCGACACATCACAGATGAGTCATTCAAGGACCATCAGAATACTCATAGTTTTTCTGTTTTCCCAGTTTCTGACTCTGATAAATGGTAGAATTTTGGCGGTTGACATCCATTTTAAACCTGCTGGTGGATTTAAGGTTCGGAGAGGTAAACTGGTTGAGGCACAGTCGTCCTAATTTTGATGAGGGGGGGATCCACAGTGTCAGACTTTAAAAACCTTTATTCTGGACAGTTCAGTCACGGTCAATGCTCGTAGCTCGTAACCCTGCAACCCAAATATCTCTTAATCCTGGATAAAAATCTAAAAACATCAGACTCTGGATTCTCAAGTGTCATTTGAGCTTTAACACCCCAGTAAGCACCAATCCTCGGTGTCGTCTTGAGTTCTAAACCAGTAAAAGCGCCTATATCGTCTATAGCCGTCCTTTTAGTCAACAGAATCAGCATCTCATTCATCGTCAGTGAAGCATCACTGGAAAGCGTCTTCCAGCGACATCCAACATTCATCTGGATTGTTTTTCCCAGCTTTGGAAGAGACGTTTTCGTCTAAATAATTCGACGCTAAACTATTAGAGATAATAGAAATAACATGTGGATTTTATTTCAGGGTGGATTTCGAGTTAGACAAAAGGGTCGCACGGTTCCAGGAACATTTTCCAGACGAGCTGGAGGGCCTGTGGACGCAGCGTCTGTCATAACAGCATTAAAATGTTGTCGAAGCATCCAGTAACATCTGGGTTACGATGAGACACGGAGGCCCCTCTCTCATCAGCTCCTGTCACTGTTTCACTTTGTGAAATTGAAAATATTTTGCTGACACCAGATCTGATTTGTAGATGGTTGGAGCCATATACAACAACAACATGATAGCACATCAATGCAAGTGTCCACCTGAAGCACTATTGATGTGGTATCGTATGATCGTTCCGCTGCTTTCATTCATAGCTCCTGCTCTTCTGCCACAGATGTAAGCTGTCTGTGGGATTTTCTGAATGTAATTCATCGCGCTGAAGTTCTTCGCAGATGGAGCGAGGAGGACGCATGCTGTGATTCTCGGAGCTGCATGTTAAACTGCAGCCAATGGCGGATTATCCTGATTGATAGAGGGCCGTGGAGTCATTTGTACAGTGTAAAATGGCTCATTTAAGATGGATGTTAAGTTGTGTGCGTTCCCTCCCGCTACTAGTGGGAAAAAAGGGGGATTTCTGTCTCCAAGTCTGCATCTTTAGCTGTGCATGGGATAAGCCTAAACTCTACAGTGAGCAGAAAAATGTAGCAAACAAGATGCAAGATGAAATAAGAGAAAGTGTGTTTATTTGCTATAAATATAACTATGAAAACTTTGTTGTGTTTCGTAGGTGTGCGACTTGTCATTCAGCTTGAAGAAGATGCTCAGCAGACACAAGCTGACGCACAACCCCAACCGGCCCATGGCAGAGTGCCAGCTGTGCCATAAGAAGTTCACCAGGAACGACTACCTCAAAGTGCATATGGAGAATGTCCACGGGGAAACCGAGAGCTAGAGCCAATTATGGAAGCACTGGCTGAAAATGAGATCTGATCCCTCAGATAAAGTCAGTGCTTCGTGCTGCCAGTCTACATCCATACTGTATACGCAGATGGATAGATAGCAGAAATACTGCTATTAACAATACATGCATGTAGAATATGGAAAACATTAAGGCAAGTATATTAAAATTGAAACATAGACTGTACATTTGTATTTTTTTGTTGTTTTGGTCATACTGTTCTTATAATGTTCTGGATATTTGAACAAACACAATCCCAGATATGTTTGATCTGCCTCCGGAGCCGCTGTGTCTGCTCACAGAGATGTCCGACATTTACTTCCAGTCTCTCAGACGTCTAACCAGTGTTACTGTACAGACTGTCACAAACAGCCAGACCTCCTCCACTGTGGTCTGAGTACCTTACTGTACATTTGTGGCCAGTTGCCAAGTGTTGAAGAAAACCTGCGACCAAAGACCTTTCAGTGCACTTTTTGTAGATGTACCTGCACACTTTGTACATGTTTACACCAGTCTGTTACGTATTACACCTGTTCTTTTGGGAGTCGAATCATGTTTAGAGGAATTGTTCTGTTCTACTACACATGTATTACAGTGTTGCTGAACAGAAGATGGAGTTCTGAAAACAATAACGAAGCCTGCCACAAAATCTGAAACAGCTCGCAAATATAAGTTTACATGATCGCCACACAGTATAAACATGCTGTCTTTTGTCTTAGTCTGTTTTAAATAGACTTAAAAGTTTTACATGTTGTCGTTCTGTTTTTAAGTAGGATTTGTTGGATATCTCCATCATTAGCTCAAGATGAACTGACTCAGCTATTCCTTTCCCACGACCTGTTGTATGAAAACCAGTGGGTCTTAAATCATGTTACTGTTTCTGTGCCACAAATTTGCGGACGAATGTGTCCCAAACCGGTGACAAAAAGTACTGTTTCTATTGACTTTTGTAATGATTCGTTATGTTTTCATATGAAAGCCCCGAGGCTGTTGCGCCTTACAGTATGTGAGTACTTTGTTCCTTATTAATCATAGTTCAACACAGAGTTTGAATAGAAGCGCAGTTCTGTCCTGTTTTCCATCCACTTCCATTTGCCTCCTCATTCACTGCCCCCTTTTTCAATTATACCCATTTTCCAGCTGTTTACTCTGCATCTGGTGGATGTGAATTGTCACTTCACACTTTTGTATTTTGAAATGTATAAAACCTCATCACCTACCAAACATCCATTTCCTCCACTCTGTCTAATTATGTGTTTGTGAACTGTTGACACGAGGGGGGTGGGGGGGAAGGCTTTAAGAGTTGATTAAAAGCGTTCAGTTCTCGTTGTTAATCTAACCCCTATTCTTAGGTTGGCAGTCTGCAGGGAGCGAAGGCTAATTAAGGCTTTTTTTTTTTTTTTTTTTTTTTTTTTCTTGCTGAGGCCACAGTCACCACTCGCCTGATCTGTAAAGCCACACACTAAAGAGCGCCTCTGATGGTTTCTCTCTGTGGATGCGGGGGACTCTTTCTCACGTCGGTCCGTTGCACAGCCTCTCCGGTATCTCAGGATTTAACTCTGTGAGAATCTCACGAGCGGCGGACTGAAGTGGGGAGAGCTGCGAGTTATTCTCATCATACGGGCTGCCGTTCAAACTCAATAAATCTTGCCGTGTGCGGTTTTGGCTTCCTTAAAACACATAACTATTACAGTATGTCTGTCTTCGCGTCTTTGAGCGTGCGCTGTTTGTTCAACAATTAACTAATTACTGGTGTTCATGTTAGATTACGTTTCGGCTCCGTTGCTCACGGCGTAGAAATCAAAAACTGTGTCGTGTGCCCCCGGGGCTCCTGTCAGGATTCGCTCTCTGATCACGTTAACCTGCCCTCTCTGGAGTTCGGTTCACCGCATGGCTGTGCAGGGCGCGGCCTGAATAACCCGGCCTGGCTGAGGCCCACGCTGCCCACTGAGCTCGTGCTACCCGCCGCCTGCTCTTTAGTGGTTGAGGCCTCCAGGCCATACTGACGCACTCTCAAATACAGTGGCATTTATATTGCGACTTGTAAACAGTAGTAGTAGGAGAGATTTGCTACAGTGGAATATTATCGTCTGCCACATATCAAACTGGAGTGGCTGACAGGTCGGACTGTGTGTTGAGATTTCCCTGCTTTTGATTATCGCTCCGCTCTCTAAAGCTTGTCACCATCCATGTCTCCGCTTTTTCCATCTCAGTCTCGCAACTTTCGGTTTTCTCGTGGGACTTTCCCAGTGACCCAGTGATCTTGTCCTCCACTTCAATCGCTTTATTTTTTTTGTGTGTGCATCCCTGCCTGCATGTGTCTCTCCCTTCCTGATGGGTGTATCATGCCAAAGCTCCCAGTCAATGTGTTTCTAATTACATGTTTTTACTGGAAGCCCCAGTTTCCTGTGTTGCCTCCCCGTTTGTGAGTGTGGGCCAGACTGGGCTCCGACCAGCGTCCACAGAGCCGAACGCCAGCCCCGCCCACTGCGCAGGAGTATCATTAGCACGCCGGCCCGGGTTTATGGCAAACCGCCGTCACGTTAGGAATGACACGGACACGCTTGTCTGACCCCTGTGTTTGGCCGGTGTCTCGTAGCAACAGGTAGCGCCTCCCCTCCGCTAGCCAGCCTGAAGTGGAATGTGTGCCCAGCGTAGAGTGCCATGCGCAGGAATTTTAATACAACTGGGCAGGGCGTGTTTGGGTATTCTGGGTCACCCTCTCAGCAGTGATGGACATTCCCTTAAAGCCACATTTCCATGGAAACAGACTGTGGCTCCTGGGTACCTAAAAGCCTTGACACTGAAAACCAGCAAAAGGTCAAACGCCTGACACAAGAAAGGCCACAGGGCTTCAGTCGAAAAACACACACACACACACACACACACACACACACACACACTATACTCACAGTATTCCTGTCCTGCTTGGTGATTTACAAGATGTTCTTAATTTAATCTTCAGACTGCACTTGAGGCTAAAAAAAAAAGAAAAAAAAAGTGGTGCATCAGGCCATGTAGACAGGGATTATTTCATTAGGAGGAAATGGGGAGAGAAACTATCATGAAAAAGTGCACAGCAACTCCCCACCCCACCACGCTCGCTGCATGAGACAACTCAAAACTTGACCATTATTTTTAGTCATGCAAGTCACTATTTAAGTACTTCAATTTTAAATTTGCTGTAATAAATATTTTTATATTAACAGCGGATCGAATGACTGTGTGAAAGAGTTTGTCGCAGTGACAAACACAGAACTACCACCTAGTTCTGCAGTATGGCGCATTTTAGTGTCTATAAACTAATAGTTTTGAATTTGCTGTCTACAACTTTACTGTTTTGATTCACTCCGCTGCTCTCAGTGGAAAACTGCTCTTTCAAATCTAATGTATATTACCTCTCCGGCACCACACTAATGACAGACATAATTACCAATTAACTGATGAACCACAGGTGGAAAGTAACTAAGCACGTTTAGTCAAGTACTCTACTCAAATAGATCTTTGAGGTACTTGTTCTCTGTAATTTTCTTGAATTTTATGCTATTTTTCGCTTCCACTTCACTTCATTTTAAATGGAAATATTCTACTTTTTACTCCACTACATTAAATCAACAGCTTTAGTTAAAAGTTGTTTTAAAATTATGATTTTACACAATGGATAATAAACAAGTTTTTAAAATACAACACAGATCCAAACTTTTTTTGGCTTTTTACAAAAAGCAGTAATTTTTCCCCTTTCACGTAGTTCAATTTAAAAAAAATAAAAAATGCTCCAATGATCCAATATCTCAGGGCAAATTAAAGATTAGAAGAAAACTGAAAACAGATTTGTGTAACAGATGTTAATTTTTATTCATTTCTGCCCCATTAATCATGTGATGAGCACTCAGATTTATCTACTGTCCGTGTATATAAAATTGTACATAAAATAGTTCAAATTAGTTCCACCTGCAGCGACTACATGCTTCTGATACACTGATGATTCACTATTCATTATCTAATGATTGCAGATGTAATAACATATCAGTTACAGAGACCAAACCAGTCATTTCTGCTTCGCTACATTTTGCTGCCAATACTTGTGTATTTTTACTTGAGTAGGATTTTTCATGCAGAACCTGTAGTCGAGCATTTTGCTTCGCTGTATTAACGCCTCTACTTAAGTAAAGGACCTGAAGACTTCTTCCACTACTGTCACAAACACGGTGAAACATTTAAATGCTAAGGAGACAAATATGTCCCTTGAATGTTGTTGCAGACCGGAGCTGATACCTGACGTAATATTTGACTGATGTTCAAAAGGTGGCCGGAAACTCAGAATTCATGTTCATGTTGCTGCATGTCTGCAAAACGCATAAACAGTCAACGGCGGCGAAGGGAATAAGTTGATATGTCAGTTTTTTGTTATGACAGCTGGTTTCTGCTGCCCTCAAGTGGCCGAGCAAATCCCTCTATACTGATTTGAATAATATTATCATGACTCAAACTTATCCTGTCATTTTGCATTAAATCGTTTCCCCCCCTTTAAAAAAAAATCAGAATAACTGCTGGGGAAACAGAATGCCGCGGTTGTTTATGTTTAAACAGCCTGCAGGAAATGGAACCACATTTGTTGAAGCGCTGCAGCACAATGGTGCCTTTGGACACGGGCTCATGAGAAAGACGAGAACTCGACAATACACCGAGGGAAAACGCTGGCCAGGAAACACTGCAGAGGAATGATGGAGAATTGTCTCCTTTTTCCCAGTTTTGTCCTCTTTGGAAGGTTAAACCCCACAAGAATGGCTCGGTCTACACGCCAAGTGGAGCTGCTAATTCCAATAAACAAGAATGCTGACTTTTTGTAACTGTGAGGAAACGCGGGAGATGAAAGGTGCTTGTAGGATGTTATGGAGCTCATTCTGACAGTTAAAGACATCAGTCAGTGCGCTGGTCCACCTCTGGAGCTTCAGCGTTGGTCAGTTCTGTCAGCACATTGTTGCTGTGTGCCGTCACTCCTCGGCCTCATTAGGACCACAGCGCTGTCTTCACTTCGCTGATGGGTGTCTCGTGTCTGTTTCGCGGCCGCACATCGTACAGTAGCAGCGCAGCAGATACCAATATGTGTAATCTCACATATTCCGACGCTGTGCTCAAGTTCAGCTGCCGAAGCAGAAATTCAACTTGGCAGAAAACACGCAAGAAAACAGAAAATCCAATAAGACATCGACCTTTCGCGAGGTTCATCGTTAACCCACGAGGGAGAAAATGTGTATGATGAGCTGCCAGGAACCAAATTCAAGCCATTCTTTTCATTTGTCTGTGAATATTTGAAAATGCTGCGTGAAAAACGGCCTCCTCCTGCAGTCCGACTCGTCTTTCTGGTTCTCTCCTTCCCTACCGAGAGCTGCTCAGGGATTTATTGTTAGGTGATTAGCGATGACAGAGAAGACTCAAGCGGTCTAGCCAAAACATTTGCGCAAACGTGACGAGAGATGAGCCATAATTCTTCTCTTTTCTCTTTGGTCAGACTGTTGCTCATCCTCCCCCCCTCCCCTGTGCTGTTATTGTCTCAGCCCCTATAATCTTTTGGCGTTTTGGGAGACCTGTGTTAAACACATAGCTCAACACAAATAAGTCCTGCTGGGCTGCAGAACAGGGGCTAATGACAGCAAGGACACACACATAGAAAGGAGGACTTACCCTGAATAGACTCAAACAGCGAAATTTAATTAGCAAACTCTTCTTAAAACCTTTTGAAGTTAATATGAACCATCAATGAGCTAGAAGAAAGAAGAAAAAAGAAAGCGCATTTTAATACGTCTTTTTTAAAATCATGCAAAATTGATATATGAGGAACAGCAGTGAGCAATCTGTGGGATTAAATTTAACTAGTGACATAACATTGGCCTTATTGTCCCCCCCTCTTATGCCACATTTCTGTTTTGAATTTTGCACCATGTTTGAAATGGAGTCCTGTGTGTGAGCTCGGAGAAACCGTATACCTCAGTGAGGGTCTGTTTCCCTTCAGAGCAGCAGGAGAAGCAACACTGAGATACACACCTTTCATGTGCTGATTTAGGTTTCGGTCCATTGAACAGTGAAACACACACACACACACACACATGCGCACACAGTCAAACATGCGCGCACAAGGACGCTAACTTCACGGAGAAAAGGCCTCCAGTGTCTGCAGCCCTTCAGAAAAGTGTGAGGTGGGATCGGGGGGCTTCTGTCTGGGTCC